AGCACTGACTGCTCTTGCAGAAGACCCAGGTTTGATTCCCAGCCCCCACATGGCAGCTAATAATCATCTTTAACTCCAGTTCTGGGGGAATCTGACACCATCTTCTGACCTCCACGGGCACTATATAACATGGGTGCACTTACACACATGCAGGCAATACACTCATACACATAAAAAATAAAAATAAAATAAAATATTTAAAAATAGCCAGGTGTGGTGGTTCATGCCTATAATCCCAGGTCTTGGAAGGCTGAGGCAGGAAGACTGTAAGTTTAAGGCCAGCTTGGGCTACATCATCAGCTTCTGCTTCAAAAATAAACAATTAATTAATTAAAAAGCCAAAAATAGAAGTAATCAGAATCCTAATACACTATTAAAAATATTCCCTTTAAGTTATTTCCCTCTGGGAAAACTTTTTTTTCTAATCATTTAATGTCTAATTTATTAATTATTTGAATTTTTCTTTTTTAAAAAATATTTTATTATTTTTATTTTATGTGTGTATTGCCTGCATGTATGTGAGTGCACCCGTGTTGTACAGTGCCTCGGAGGTCAGAAGAGGGCTTCGGATTCCCCTGGAACTAGAGTTAAGGACAGTTTGTAGCCACCATGTGGGTGTTGGGAATTTCCTCTGCAAGAGCAGTCAGTGCTCTTAACTGCTGAGCCATCTCTCCAGCCCCAAATTTTTCTTTTTTACTTAAAAAATACACTTATTGCCAGGTGTGGTGGCGCACGCCTTTAATCCCAGCACTCGGGAGGCAGAGGCAGGCATCGGATCTCTGTGAGTTCAAGACCAGCCTGGTCTACATAGTGAGTTCCAGGACAGCTGGGGCTACAGGGAGACCCTGTTTCAAAAAGACCAAAAACAAACAAAAATACATTTATTTATTTATTTGGCGGGGCGAGCATGAGGACATTAGAGGACAACTTGCAGGAATGGGCTCTGTCCTACCTTGTGGGTGGGTTCTGGGGATCAAACTCGGGTCTTCAGGCTTGGCAGGAGGTGCCTTACCATCTTACTGCCTGCCTTTTTTGAGACAAGATCTCATGTAGCCCAGGCTGGCCTTGAAATTTTCACCCTCCTGCCTCTACTTCTCAAAGGCTGAGATTATAGACATGTATCACCATGTTTCTTTTCTTCCTTTCCTCCCCTTTCCTTTTTCCTTTCCTTTTTTCCTCTCTCTCTCTTTCTCTTTATCTCTCTCTTTTGGTCAGGGTCTCACTATGCTGGCTTAGAACTCACTATGTAGACCAGGCTGGCCCCTTGATCTCACAGAAATCCGCCTGCCTCTGCCTCTGGAGTGGGCACACACCTTTAAGCCCAGCACTCAGGAGGCAGAAGCTAGCAGTGAGTTCCAGGGGCTACAGAGAGACTATCTCAAAAGACAACAGCAACAACAACAACAACAAAAAAGTGTGTGCTACCACGCCCTGCACTTCCTTATAGAGGACAGGCAGGTGCTCCCCTAGGCTTTATCCTCAGTCCTGTTCAATGCTATGGATGTTATTTTCTCTACTTTAAAAATATCACAGTTGCTTGTTGCTGGGACTGAGTCCAGGGCCTTATGTATACTAAATACGTGCTATCACTGAGCAACACCACCAGCCTCTCACAATTTATAGTTCATTGTTTGGCTGATTGATATTTATAATCTTTGTGTGTATATGTGTGTTTGTGAGTGTGTGCAGTCATGTGTATGCCATGATGCATGTATGGTGTTAGTTCTTGCCTTCCCCTTTGATTTGCGAGGGGGCTTTTGTTTTGCCAGTATATACACCAAGCTAGCTGGCCAACAAGATCGCTGTCTCCCATCTCACTGTAGGAGCACTGGAATTACAGGTATGTGCTACCACGCCTGGCTTTACTTGGGTTTTAGGAATTTGAACTTGGGTTCTCATGCTTGCACAGCAAGCACTTCCATCTTCCCAGCTCCCAGAGTTATATATACATCTCTTAAATAATTAACATTCCTTTTGAACTAGGTTTAGTGGTACACACCCATAATCCCATCACTCTGGGGATTAAGGCAGGAGAGAGATGAGTTTAAGGCCAGTCTGGGCTACACTGCTGAGATGCTGTCTCAAAAAAAGGGAAGGAATGGGGGGAAAAGAAAAGGAACAAACATTCCTTTGAGTCTAATCAACCCTCAAATCTTCCTCATACTAACATTTGGATGACTCCTGATAGAGAATTTTACCTTCTCCTTCAATGGTGGGGAACAGGGGCTAGAGGCAGGACTGTCAGAAGGGGATGAATCTACTTCCACTGGTTCTTCTTCTTTGATTTTGATATCTGGTGTAGAAGGCAGAGACATGTCAAGGGGCCCAGAAGTACCCTGTTAGGAAAGAGAATTAAAAGTGTTCAATTTCATGATGCCAGATATAAGATGAAGGCATATGCTTCAGAGAAGTTGAGCCCTTGGTCAATGCACTGAACTGCAAGTCAAAGAAATATGACCAATGCTTTATGTAACAGTAGTCAAATTCCTTTCTTAGGGCCTCTGTTTCACTAACTATAAATTTAAGATAACATCAGTTTAGCCAGGCAAGGTGGTACACACCTTTGATCCTAGCACTTGGGAAGCAGAGGCAGGTATATCTCTGTGAGATCAAGGCCATACTGGTTTACATAGCAAGTTCCAGGCCAGCTGGGGTTACTGGTAGACCCTGCTCAAAAAGACCATAAATAAATAAGTAAATAAATAAATAAATAAATGAACAAACAACATCAGTTACAAGCAAGTGTTTACAATGACCTAAAAACAGAGATATAGTTAAATCCATGCAACCATCATGATTATATTTTTTTTCAGGAAAGTAAAATGATTCCTGGATCAAGTACCTGCCTATTCTCAACTAGCTCTGCTGGCCACTTTCTCTGTCAACCAAAATGACTATGCTACCCAAGTATAAAAAGCAATGACAGAAAAACTGGCAACTGCAAACAAGACAAGAAAGGTCTTTTCTGGGGAACTTGCCATGTTAGCTGGTGATCACAATTCACCTGGAGCTAAAGGCTAGAAGCTTCAGGCATACAGGGTTTGGGGATAACAAAGAAAGGCTGATTGTCCCATCAGTGGCAGAAACTAGAGCTTGGTCTTGGAGGCAGGATTGGAGAAACCAGAAAGTAAAGAGTACTTTCCTGGCAGCAGTGCAATCACTTCACCTAACTGAAGCTGTAAATAGCTTTGCAGGGAACAGTAACCATGTGAGATAACAACCCTAATACTGTACCACATCAGGAGGGCTGGCATTGCAGTTTGGTTTCATGGCAAAGTTGATCCTTTGTTCTCTTCCTATATCCTAGGCTTCTTGGTGAAAGAGGAGTTTGTTCCTACCTCCTTTGCTACATTTTTCCCTCCTGAGACACAGTCCCAACTACGTAGTTCATGCTGGCTTTGATCTTGCCTTTACCTCCCCAGTGCTAAGACTATAGATGTGTGCCACCATGACTAGCAATTCCTTGTTGTCTTAAGCAGAAGCCTTCTGAGCAGCAAAGGATTCTGGTCTACTATATTAAGGAAGGTAGGCAATGGTTCTTTCTGCTCAGTCTGAAAAGGAGGAGCAACAGCAAAGAATTTTATTTCTGCTTCACTTTTTTCTACATTGCTAAAATGTCAGAGCCAATTTAGCTAATTCTAAGATCTCTGAAGTCAAGACACTGGTGGGAAAGTAAGGCCTCTAAGTAATGCAACCATCCATGTACAACTCCCAACAGGCATCTTCTAGAAAAGCTCTGGTTTAGAAAAGTTTCAGGCTCATTAAACATCCCTGGAGATAATATTATACTGCATCTGTGCTTCTCAAGGGGAGGCAAAGACCATCCCTGGCCAGACAGAAACACCAAGAGATGCCCACTGGAGAAGCCCTGACTAGCTATGAACTAGCCTCCTAGAAGTGTCAATTAGCTAAAAACGATAGTAGGAAAAATAGAGCTGTGAAAGAGAGCTTTTTTTTTTTTTGCTTTTTTTTGTCTTTCTGAGACAGGGTCTCCCTGTAGCCTCAGCTGGCCTGGAATTGACTATGTAGACCAGGCTGGCCTCCAACTCACAGAGATCCCCTTGCCTCTGCCTCCCAAGTGCTAGGATTAAAGGCATGCACCACCAAGCCCAGACTTTTTTTTTTTTTTTAAAGACAGGGTCTCACTATATAGACCAGGGTAGCCTCAAATTCACAGAGCTCCACCTGTCTCTGCCTCCCAACTGCTGGGATTAAAGCCATGTACTGATAGGTAAAATGTTGGCGGAGAACGAGCGAATGGAGGAGGCACCAAGGCACAGCTAAAACTCCATCAAAATAGGGTTTATTAGCAAAGGAACACATGGGACAGATTCTGTTCCGGGCAGGGAAAATGTCTGCCCAGGTCTTGAGCTGGGGTCTTTTAAAAGGGAGGCTTCTGCCTCCTGCAGAAGGTGGGAAGATGTATTCTTTTTAAAGTTGGGTTGGGGGGAGGAGTGGGAGAGCAGGGACTGTTAAAACCTGTCTTCTTTAGAGATCAAAGGGGAAGCCTGCTGTGTTGGCCAAACAGTGGAGAATCGTCTGCTTCTCTTGACTTCAAAGACCAAGGTGCTTATCAGTTCCCTTTTCTCAGGAGCATGAGAAGTTCTTGGGATCCTGTTGGTGGGGAGGCAGGGCTATCTGAACCTTAACATGTACCATTATACCTGACAAGAGAGCTTATTTTTTAGATTTATTGATTGACTGATTGATTGTGTGAGCACAAGCACATGCCACAGCATGCATATGGGAGTCAGTTCTCTTCTGTCATGTGGGGCCCAGGATCAAACTTAGGTCATCAGGTTTGGTGGCAAGTGCCTTTACCTGCTAAGCCAACTTGATAGCCTTTGAAAGCTATTTTTCTTGCACTTGCCTATACAGAGTTTGTTATGCCACGAGTAGTGAGTGGTACATGCATATGATCCCAACCCTTAGAAGGCTGAGACAGAAATACTAGGAGCTTTAGATCAGCCTGGGCTATATAGCAAGAACCTCTCTTAAGACAACAAAAGGAGGTTGAGGGGCGGAGGTGTGTGAGGGCGCGAGGGGGTGGGGGGGGTGGTTTGCGCATGTGTATACACATACACACATATTTGAAAAAAAACCAAAAAGATTCAGAGGCAGGAGGATTGTCACAAGTTTGATGCCAGCCTGGTTTATAAAGTGAGTTCCAGGCTAGTCAGGAACTATATAGCAAGACCCTGCATGTATTTAAGTCCATCCATGTCATGCAATGCCTGCGGAGGTCAGAAGAAGGCATCATGGATCACATACATATACCACGCACATACATAAATTCATTAATTTAAAAACTTAATTAATGCCTCACTGGAAGGCAGGAAGATGGAATTTTGACAAAGACAGACCTGTATTGCTGCATCACCTGAACTCCAAGCTAAATGGGTGTTAGGATGTGGTGGCACATGCTTGTTATTCCGGCTATCAGGATGATGAAACAAGGGGATCACCATGGATTTAAGGACAGCTTGGGCTAAATAGTGACTTAGAGACTAGCCTGAACTACATGTTGAGCCCTGTCTCACGCCTGCTCTGCAAAGACCTGGCTGAATGACTAGGTTTGGGGAGTACTGTCTGGTTCTATAGAGCTAATCCCATGATTTGGATTTTTTTTTTTTTTTTCTGTCCTTTTGAGACAGGGTCTCCTTGTAGCCCCAGCTGTCCTGGAACTCAGTATGTAGACCAGGCTGGCCCTGAACTCACAGAGACCCGCCTGCCTCTGCCTCCCAAAGTTTTAAATTTTATTTTATGTATATGCATGTATTGCCTATGTGTAGGTAAGTGCACCCATGTTGTGCACCGCGGAGGACAGAAGAGGTTGTCAGATCCCCTGGACAGTTAGTTGCCATGTGGGTGCTGGGATTTGAACCTGGGTGTTCTGCAAGAATGTGTTCTTAACCGCTGAGCCATCTCTCCAGCCCCATGATTTGGAATTTTAACCAATCAAGGCAATTATCCCAAGGCACAAGAGTCAAGTCTAAATATCAGCAGTTTATTTTTTAAATCCCACTTGCCTTTTTCTCATCCTCATCTGAAGTTTTTTTGAATTCTTGTTCAAAGGAACTAGCTAGTTCATTGAAGAGCCCCACCTCCTCACAGTTCTTCAGGAATCTAGTCGGAGTAGGTGTTTGATCTGTGGACATAAAAAGAGGAAATTGTGTTTTTGTTTTAACTTAAGATTAAAACTTGAGAGTACATAGTGAATATGTTTTTATTCTTCTATTTAGAGATGGAGAATCTATGTTTGGCAAATTTACTTCTTTTTGGACTTTAGAAGTTGAATGGTTGTGCTAGGCCACCAGAGGGTGTCTGTGTTATATTGTCTCAAGGCCAGCAGGGGGAAGACAGGACAGTGTTTTGTTGTGTGAGTAGCCACATGTCCATCTTCTCTCAGTGCTCAGTTTACCTCCTTCCCACACAACAAAAAAAACAGTAATGCAAAACCATTCATGAAAGTGAAGTTTCATGAAACCTCTAGATTTGAAAATCAACAACAGTTAAGCAATGTTTCCTTTTCAAACTTACACCTTGTCAGGTCTGAGGTGAGTAGGTCTAAGTAGATGGATGTTAAGATCTGATGAAAAGAGGGTTGGAGGGATGGCTCAGCGGTTAAGAGTGCTGACTGCTCTTGCAGAGGACCCGGGTTCAGGTCCCAGCACCCACATGGTGGCTACAAACCATCCTTAACTCCAGTTCCAGGAATCTGAAGCCCTCTTCTGATCTGACCTCCGCAGCATTGCACGTGCAGCATTGCACGACAGGGGTGCACTCACATATATGCAGGCAATATACTCATATGCATTAAAAAAAAAAAAAAGATCTAATGAAAAGAACAATCTGAGAATGGATAGCTGTTTGTTTGCTAATGCTGCCTAATAAAGGAAGTGTCTTGTCTTCTACTGAGATAAAGATCTGTTACCTTCTGAAGGCATTCCAGGAAAATCTAGGGACTGGGAAATAAGACAGCAATATCAGAAGGTAGAAAAGGAAGCTGCAAACAATAGGCCTCATTTCACAGAGACCTGGGCAAAGTTGGGAAACCCGGGCTATTTGGTTTAGACTTGCTTGCCAAAATATCCCTACAGGGGTTAGGCAAACTTTTTTCTCAACATACTGCCTTTGCTCCCTCCCTTCCTCCTCTTTTGAGACAGGCCCAGATTAGCTTGGAATTTACAGTTCTTTTACTTCTACCTCCCAAGTGCTGGGATTATAGGAATGTGCCACCAAGACTGACTCCTTTGCTTTTAAGAAGATGAAGTTTCTTCACAATCCATAGGAACTTTTAAAGTAATTTGAATTTCAGATCTTAGCTGCTTTCTCTCTATTCTGTTTTTCTGAAGTTGAACCTTGTTCCTGGGCCTAACTCTATTTTGAACATTTTCTGTGACATGCTAATCAATTTAAGGATTCATTTCCTATCCAAATCAAATAGACTGACTGATAGGATAATGTTTAAATTATACATTTAAAAATATTTTATTTTTATTTTATGTGTTATGAGAGTTTTACCTGCATGTGTATAAGTGTACCATATTCATGCAGTGTCTGTGGAGGTCAGAAGGTGTTAAATTCCCTGGAACTGGAGTTACAGATGGTTGTTAGCTACCATGTGGGTGCTAAGAACCAAACCCAGGTTCTCTGGAAGAACAGCAAGTGCCCTTTACTGCTGAGCCATCTCTCTAGCCCCTTTATTTTATTTTTTTAAATTTTATTTTTATTATTTTATGTATATGAGTGTATTGCCTGCATGTATGTGAGTGTACATATGTCGTGCAATGCCATGGAGGTCAGAAGAGAGCTTTGGATTCCCCTGGAACTGGAGTTTAGGACGGTTCATAGCCGCCATGTGGGTGCTGGGAATTGAACCTGGGTCCTCTATAAGAGCAGTCAGTGATCTTAATTGCTGAGCCATCTCTCCAGCCTCTGATTTTTATTTTTACTTATTTATTTTATGTGTATTAGTGAAGTACCTACATGTACATGTTAAGTGCACCTATATCATGCAGTCCCAAGGAGGACAGAAGAGGATGTCAGATCCCCTGGAACTGGAGTTACAGACAGTTGTGAGCTGCCATGTGGGTGCTGGAGTTTGAACTCAGGTCCTCTGTGTTTTATTTTTAAAGCTCCTTTGTTGGCTGGAGAGATGACTCAGTGGTTAAGAATGTTGGCTGCTCTTGCAGAGGGCACAGGTTTGATTCTCAGTACCCACATGGCAGCTCACAATTGTCTGTAAACTCAGGTCTAGGGGATCTAATGCCTTTTTCTGGCCTCCACAGGCACCAGGCATGGAGGTGGTACCCATACACATATGCAAGCAAACACTCATAACACACAAAAAATAAAAATAAATAAAATAAAGCTACCCTGTGCAAAGGCTGATTTCTCATCTTCTAAGAGGCCTCTAACCTTCAACTGACTCTAGTTCCTTAACAAACAATCTGAAAACATATAAGCAAACCTAGACTGTTCTGATGATTCCTATGTGTTCACTGAATACTTTCTGTGTGTCTTGGTGCTACATGAAAACACTTAAATGTATAGCTGAGAGAGATAAGGGTATAGCCCAAATGTAGTAACATGGGTCTTTCCCCAGAGGATTTAAGAGAATGTTTTTTAGTTGAGAGCTTGTTTGGAGGTTCTAGCAGGGGAGTGCAGCCACTCATATACCCTTGACTGAAGACCAGTCCTCATCTATTGGGGAAGGTCATCCTCTTCTTCTTAGACCAAACAAGCACATTTTGGGGAGGGACTGTACGTGGAGTGTTGAGGGAGGAAGGGGACATCTGCCTAGCCAGCCAGATTAGCCAAATCAACCCTGGTGATCAATGGTGTGACAGATGTGCAGATTGCCCTCACATCTGAGAATTTTTTGGTTGATAAAATAAAACTAATATATATAGACAGCATCATACTATGCAAAAATGAGTACTAGTGAAGTGTAGAATAAAATTATAGAAATAAAAATCCATGTTATTTTTTTAAATTTTAAAAAATATTTTATTATTTTTATTTTATGTGTATGAGTGTATTGGCCTGCATGCATATAAAAACACCTGTGTCCTGAAATGCCCATGGAGGTCAGAAGAGGGTATCAGATACCCTGGAACTGGAGTTACAGATGTTCTTAACCGCTAAGCCATCCTCCAGCCCCTAAAAATCCGTATTAAGTACCAGAGTTATAAGAAAGATTTGAAATAGGACTTGAGCTAGGCCTTAAAAAATGGTTTTGAACTATACAGAAAAGATCTGAAATTTTTGGAGCTAAGAGGAATAATGCTGGTGAAGGCACAGAGAAAGGCAGAGAATGGTTATAATACATGGATTCAGAGAAAGTAATTTGTCTAAGTCAAAAGATAGTCATTTAATACATATAAGCTGCATATAGTTGGAGAACCAGGTCTAAGTAGCCTTTAAGAGAGAGAAAATAGGAAGACAATGAGATTTTGACCACAAGAATAGAACTTAAATAGGACTAGCTTTCCAAAAGTATTTGAGATGAAGTAGATTGAGACTAGTCAAGGAGGCCAACCTGGTGACAATGGAGGAACAGAAGCATGGGTGTGGTAGCAGAAGAGGAATGCTATGGTTTGGATGTCACCCAAATGTCCATGTATTAAAAGCTTGATTCTAAGCCCTTGGCACTAGGGGAGGTGGTGGGATCTTTATGAGTTGGGGTCCAGTGGGAGGTTTTAGGTTCTTAGGAGCATGCCCTTGAAGGGGGTTGTGGGAGTCTGTGTTCTTTCTCTCTTTGGTGTTCTAGCCAAGAGGGAGCAGCTCTGTTCTATAACACACTCCCCATTACAGTGCTGCTGTACTACAGTCCCAAAGTCACAGGGCCAACTGACCATGGACTGAAGCCTCCAAAACTGAACCAAAATAATCTCTCGTTTCTCCTTCTTGAGACAGAATCAAATATAGTCCAGGATTGTCTTTAACTTGCTATGTAGCTGAAGATGGCCTTGAACACCAGATCTTCCTGTCCCCACCTCCCAAATGCTAGGATTACAGGCATGCCCCGCCATACCTCATTCAATCCTTTTCTATTTACAAGTTGATTTTTCTCAAGTATTTGTTCATAGTGGATATGATGCTGACTAAAACAAGAATAGAGAATTTGAAGAAAGAATAATACAACTCAAAACTCAGAATACTGCTATCAGTGAGGATCAGAGAAGAGGAGTTCGTTTAGGAGACAAGTTTAGTCACTGACATGAAAATTTAAACTGGGTGTGGTAGCTAATGCCTTTAAACTCAGCACTTAGGAGGCAGAGGCAGGTGGATCTCTGTGAGTTCAAGGCCAGCCTGATCTACATAGTGAGTTCCAGGACAGCTGGAGCTACAGGGAGACCCTGTCTCAAAAAGACCAAAAGAAAAAAACAAACAAACAAACAAAAAATGAATAAATAAAAGAAAATCTAAATTATGACCAAGTAAGTGTTCAAGAAGGGGCTGGAATACAGATGATGCATCATATCTTAACGGGGGTTAGAGAATTACCAGTCTGGAAAGAATAGCTGAGGTCATGGGCAATGAGATGAGCACTCTAGAACTGAATGCAAAGAGTTACAAGGAAAACATTTTCTCTACCAGACACAGTGGCTTACTACCACCTCTAGCTCTAGCTCCAGAGGATCCAACACTCTCTTCTGTCGTCTACAGGCACCTGCACTAACATGCACATACCTACACGCAAACATTCACACACACACATAATTAAAAATAAATTGCTTCTCGGTCTTTTGGCTAAGATCAAGTGTAGAACAAATCATTCTGGAAGAATGCAAAGGAAAATAGCTTTAGATACTTAAGTGACAATTGAATTTATTCTTATAATTGTTTTAATAGCTTTTGTATAATCTTCATCGCTATTATGAGATATAAAATGTATTTATCAAATCTGTAATCATTATGCCAAAAAATCTGAATTACTGTAATATTTTGTATATTGTTAAAACTGTAACTTTAATTGTAAAAAAAAAAAATTAAAAAAAAAAAAATAAATGCTGGGTGTGATGGTGCATGTCTTTAATCCCAGCACTTGAGAGGCAGAGACAGGTGGATCTCTGAGTTCAAGGCCATCCTGGTCTACATAGTGAGTTCCAGGCTAGTCAGGGCTACATAGTGAGACCCTGTCTCAAAAAACAGAAAAAAAGAAGAAAACCTACTCAAATTCTCCAACCTGTACAAAGTCTTTCAATGTAATCATGTTACTTCTTAAAGAAAGCAACGTTCATAAATATTTTTAAATTTCAGACAAAAACAAGAAAGGAGATAAGATACCTTTTTTCCTAGGACTCTCATGCAGCACCTCCTATCTCCGTCCCTGCAGACTTGGTATAGGCCTTTCCAACTACCTGGCACAGCCTCTCCAACCTGATAACCTTAACTCCTTCACCTTTTTCATAAATGTCTCTAATTCCACTTAATATTTTTCTTAGTATTCATGTTGTATTATTCATTTTCTTTTAGTTTCCTCTTTTGTTTGTTTTGTTGAGACAAGGTGTTACTATGTAGCCCTAGGAGAGCTGAACTCATAGAGATCCTCCTGCCTCTACATTCTGAGTACTAGGATTAAAGGTGTGTGCCATCATGTCTAGCTAGTTCCCTTGCTTTTAAATGGTCTTTCTGGGATTTTTCCCCTGGTGCTGGGGCACCAAAGCCAGGGCCTTGTGCTTGCAAGGAGGTGCTCTACCACTGAGCTAAATTCAACTTTTATTTGTCTGAAAATGCTAAATTTTTTCATGTATATATATGCTCCGATTTAAATTTTTTTTTTGATCTTTTTGAGACGGGGTCTCCCTACAGTCCCAGCTGACCTGAACTCACTATGTAGACCAGGCTGGCCTTGAACTCACAACGATCCACCAGCCTCTGCCTCCCTAGTGCTGGAATTAAAGGTATGCACCATCACCCCTGGCCTATACTTTGTTTTTACTTGAATTTTGAATTGAAATTTTGCAATTTTCATACAATATAGTTTGATGGTATTTAGATCTCCTGCTCTATCCATACTTGTCCCCACCCAATTTAATGTACTCGTGTGTGTGTGTGTGTGTGTGTGTGTGTGTGTGTTTGCAAAAATTTTTTTTTTAATTTTTATTTTACGTGTATGAGTGTATTGCCTGCATGTATGTGAGTACACCCGTGTCGTGCGATGCTGCAGAGATCAGAAGAGGGCTTCGGATTCCCCTGAAACCCGCCATGTGGGTTCTGGGAATCGAACTCAGGTCCTCTGCAAAAGCAGTCAGTGCTCTTAACCGCTGAGCCATCTCTCCAGCTCCTAAATAAGTATATATTTACATATATGATACTTATATCCTACCCATTCTTCCCTAAGACCTCCTCCTGGTTTTAAGAATCACTGAAAAACGACACGGTGGCACCTGCCTGTAATCCCAGCCTTTGGGAAGTGAAAGCAGGAGAATCAAGGCTTCAGCTACATGATACCCTGTCTTAGGAAAAAAAAGATTGACACTCTTCCCACTCATATCCTTTTCTTAGGGATCACAAATCTACAAACTTAGAGCAAAGCAACTAGCCCCAACAGCAGATATTCAATAAATATTTGCTGATTTAATAAGGAAAAGATTTGTAGGCAAGTCTCTTTCATCATGGAGACTAGTAGGGAGAGGTGGCTATGTCTCTTTTTCCAAGTCTAAGGTAACATTTTGGTAAGTAGTACATAATTAGAAAAATGATACTTAACTGGTTTATTAATTGATATGATAAGTCACTAACTAAACACAATTTGATTAAATATTAAGCCAAGTCTGCTTGGTATGGGTTAAATTAAAACCTCTCACAGTATCAAAAGAAAAAGTCACCAGCAATGGTGGTTCACACCTTTAATCCCAGCATTGGGGATGAGGAGGCAGAGGAAGGCAGACAGGTGGATCTCTGTGAGTTTGAGGCCAGCCTGATCTACTTGAGTAAGTTCTAGGCCAGCCAGGGCTTTGTAGTGAGACCCTATCTCCAAAAAAAAACCAACCAACCAACCAACCAACCAACCAAACAAACAAACAAACAAACAAAAAACCCAAACCAAAACAAAAGAAAACTCACTCTGGTTTGCATGTCTATCTAGCTGTGAATTGCACAACAGAACACCGAGGGTTTGGCAGCAGTTGCTAGGAGTGCTCCCTTGAGTATGGTGCAGGGAAGCACAACAGTATCTAAAACTGGTAAGAGGTTCCAGGTCACCCAAGTTGGCTTAGAAAAGTCCCATTGACGAAATGTCTTGTTTGAGTTTTGGAAATGAGCCCTTAATGGTGTCTGGGTTCACAAGGGAAGCTGAATTTACGAACTGCTAATCTGCCCGCTGGAGGAAAACTGACAGCAGCGGGAGAGGCAGCCAGGCTTGGGCAGCTTTGTTGTCTTCTTTTGTTCATTTCCACTGTGGACAGGGGGAAATGCCAAAGGCATCTTTTGTCTGTAACTCTTCCAAAGTCTTAATAAATAGAAGGCAAGGAGGAACTAGACTGAAAAGAGCTAAGACAAAATCTCAACACACCTATCCTCAAAAGCCAGAGAACACAATCTTATTAAAAACAGAGTGGTGGGCACAATAGAGCTTTTATGTTCCTTTTTTTCTGATTAAATGTAGATCACATATGGGATCTTGATGGGAAAGGGGGAGTAAAGCTCCCAGTACATCTGGTCCCTGGAATTTATCTTAACTGTCTGGTGATAGCAAAGCACATGGATTCTGGGGCAGCAAATACCTGCAATGATGACTGAGTCCGTTCTGGCTGGGCCGAATTTCAATGTCATCTCATGCTTGTGTTTATGAACTGCCAGGTGGTCCTCATTTGTAAATCTCTGAAATGAAACAGAAATGGAGATTCGAAAAAAGGAAGAAAAAAAGAAAAAGAAAAACAACCCTCCCCCTCCATCCAGTGCTTTTTAAAATGGCCTACCAAACACAAACATGCTGCAATGAAGCTGGTCCTGGAAACAGGGAATGGAAAGAGAAAAAAATGATGAAAATGATAGAAGAGACGAAACTAAAAGCACTGAAGGCAGAGAAGTGAGGACCGAGAAAAGATCACACCAACTGCTTTGTGTTATCAGGTCCAAAGAAGAGAAGTGGACAGATTGTTGCTGAAGTGGGGTCCAGGCAGGAGGCTCCAAAATGAGAAAACATTAAGGCAAACTTGCAGTGAACAGGAGTAAAACAATTTTTAATAATAATAATAAAGAGAAAGAAGGGAAAGGCTGAACACTCGATGGTCATCACAAAAAATAGGAAATTCAGAAGAAGCTCTCTGTGGTGGGGCTGAATTGGACTATTTTATGAGGGGGCTAACAGGGAGATAAATTATGCAGGATTAGGAGAACCATTTAACTTCCTGGCCCCCACAGTGCTGCAGCAGGCGCCTGCTCAGCTATTTGGCTTGCATTTTAATGAGCCAGGACTGAGCTGTAGATGACAGAGGCCCAATGGCCAGCAATAATGGCACACACCAGCCACATTGGCCAAATGCTGTCTCCCCTCACCGGGCAGTCCTCCTGGGCTCCAAAAGCCATAAAGGAGCCAGTACAATGTGACTGGCTCTATAATGACAGAATGAAAATGCAAACAAAAAAAGTTTTAAAGGTACAGAGAAGCCTGTAGGCAGGATGAGAGAAAAGGAAAGAGTACAGAGATCCTGTATAGGAGCTGGAATGAAGGAAGAGGTAAAGTCAAATCTACCCCAGTTTATGATTAAGAAAGACAAGGTTACTGGACAATAATTTATGTTCCAACCCCTTTAAAAGGAGGAGGTGAAAGGAAGAGATGAATAGCTGTAATTCAAAGTCCCTTTGAGGCCATGCTCTTTCATTAAAACACGCCTGCCACAGAAATGGCCTGGATGCTGCAAGTTTCCATAGCTCTTACCAGAAAGCCTCTGACACATGGTTCTATTTCTCTTGTTTTTAAATAGTGTTTGGTTAGTTCCTTCTTTTTACTTCATTAGATACTTAATTTACCACCAAACACTCCTACACCTATAACCCTTTCCACAGCCCTTGGCAAAACAAATACATAGGACCTGGCCCCATCCCAGCACCCATCCGGTCAAGTAACAACACCAAACTGTCTTGTCTCCCTCATTTTTATCAAATTTGTAACTGAGTTTATAACTGAAGCCAGTGTAACAACTAAAATCCTTCCTGATAAAGCATACAGGCCTGACACAGGAAATTTTCAATTAGAAGTATAAAGCTCTAAGAAGTCAATCAAAAGAAGAGTGCCTCAGTGATTTCCAATAGATCTAGGACAAAATGGACACAAGGGTAGGAAAATTTAGGCAAGAACTACAGTTTTCTCTATTGGTAATCCCATGCACTAACTTCCTCAATTATAGATTTTCTCCTAAGAGATGAAGCAGGAAAGGAAGTCCTGTACAGTAACTTGTTAACTAGCTTAAACAAGTCACTCTACAGGATCCAGGACTGCCATGTATTTGATAAAAGAAAATCAGTAGGACCTAGTCTACAATGGAGAAAAACATTCCTTATTTTTTTTAATTGATTATTTTTTGGTCTTTTAAAAAAATTTATTTATTATTTTTATTTTATGTGTATGTGTGTATTGCCTGCATGTAGGTAAGTGCACCCATGTCATGCAATGCCCAAGGAGGTCAGAAGAGGCTGTCGGATCGGGAGTTATGGACAGTTGTTAGCTCCCATGTGGGTGCTAGGATTCAAACCTGGGTCTTCTGCAAGAAGAACCAGTGTTCTTAACCTCTGAGCCATCTCTCCAGCCCCCCGCCCCCCTTTTTTTTTGCTCTTTTTGAGACAGGGTCTCCTCGTAGCCCCAGCTGGACTGGAATTCATTATGTAGACCAGGCTGTCCTTGAACTTGCAGAGATCCACCTGCCTCTGCCTCTCAAGTGCTGGGATAACACTCTTTTCTAAAAAAAAATTTTGTTTTATGTATATGAGTGTATTGCCTCACGTGTGTAAGTGCATTTATGTCCTGCAGTGCCCACAGAGGTCAGAGGTGTCAGATCCCCTGGAACTGGAGTTTCCGACAGTTGTTAGCCACCATGTGGGTGCTGGGAATCAAAGCGAGGTCTTCTGCAAGGGCAGTCTTTGTGTGTGTGTGTGTGTGTGTGTGTGTGTGTGTGTGTGTGTACTGGAGATGGATCCCAGGCTCTTGTACATGGTAGGTAAAACAGTCTACTAATGAGCTATACAGTCCTCTATATATTTTATGAATTTAAAGACATTATTCTGAGGCCAGGTGTGGTGGCACATGCCTTTAATCCCAGCACTCAAGAGGCAAAGGCAGGTGGATCTCTGTGAGATCAAGGCTAGCCTGCTCTATGTATTGACGTTCCAAGCCAGTTGGGGCTATAGGGAGACCCTGAGTCAAAAAAGACCAAAAACAAAAAATAAAATAAAAACCCCCAAACCAAAAACCAAATCCAAGCCACATTACTTTGTATTACACTTTGGATATGAAGTGTCTCTCCAGTGAGCTCATGTACTGAAGGAAAAGCTTGTTCCTGTAAGGGTTCTGACCTAATCAATGGATTCGTCTACTGAAGGATTCATAATCTGATGGCATTATTTAGAGGTGATGAAACTTTCAGCAGTAGGTCCTAGCTGGAAAAGGGAGATCCCTTGGTGGAGGGGGGTCATTGAGGGGCTCCATCTCCTCTTGGGCCTCTGTCTCTTGCTTCCCTGCCACTGTGAGGTGAGTAGCTCCCTTCACTATTTCTCCACCATGAGGCTTCACTTTACCTCCAGTCACAGAACCAGCTGACCATGGACTGAAACCTATGAAACTTCAAGCCAAAATAAACCCTAATTCTGTCTCCTTTTAAATTGCTGTGATGAGAAAACTTAATATACTCCAAAGGAAAGGTTAGTGGACTTCATCAAACTACTAAAAGGGGTTCAGGACTTCAAAAACATTAAGAATGTATGATGAAACAATGTAGTACACTTCAGGGATAGGAGCTTGATTTTAAGAAGGATATGAGCCTAGTCTTTTTTTTTTTTTTTTTTTGGTCTTTTTGAGACAGGGTCTCCCTGTAGCCCCAGCTGTCCTAGAACTCACTATGTAGACCAGGCTGGCCTTGAACTCACAGAGATCGCCTGCCTCTGCCTCCCAAGTGCTGGGATTAAAGGCATGCGCCACCACACCCAGCAAGCCTAGTCTTTTTTAAATAACTTATTTTATGTGTATGCTTGCCTGTATATATGTGCACCACATGCATGCCTGGTGCCCTCAGAGGCCAGAAGAGGAGTTGAAGTCCCTGGAACTGGAGTTATAGACAGTTATGAGCAGCATATATGGGTGCCAGGGACTGAACCCAGGCCCTCTGCAAGAACAGACAGTGCTCCTAACCACTGAGCCATCTCTCCATCCTCCATTGTAAGTTTCATGATTGTTATGTAATCACAGGAATGCCGCAAGTAGGATTTTTTGGGGGGGGCGATTCTTTTTGAGACAGGGTCTCACTGTAGCCCCAGCTGGCCTGGAACTCACTATGTAGACCAGGCTGGCCTTGAACTTACCGAGATCTGCCTGCTTCTGCCTCCCAAGCACTGGGATTAAAGGCGTGTGTCACCATGCCTGTTGAATTTATTTTAAAAATATTTTATTTATTATTTTTATGTGTATATGTGTATTGCCTGCATGTAGGTAAGTGTCGTGCAATGACTGCAGAGGACAGAAGAGGCTGTCGGATTCCCTGGGACTCGAGTTATGGACAGTTAGCTGCCATGTGGGTGCTGGGATACAAACCCGGGTCTTCTGCAAGAACAGCCAATGTTCTTAACCGCTGAGCCATCTCTCCAGCCCTGATTTTTTTTTTTAAGACAAGGTCTCATTATGTAATAATGGCTGACCTGAACTTTCTGTGTAGACCAGACTGGCCTTGAACTCAGAGATCCACCTACCTCTGTCTGCCTCTGTCTCCCGGAGTGCTGGGATTAAGGGTGCGAGCCAGCACAACCGAGCCTAGTTTGGAAGGGAGGGCTGGAAAGATGGCTCAGCAATTAAAAGCATTGGCTGCTTTTGTAGACCTAGGCTCAGTTCTCAGCACCCACATCGTGGCTAACAACTGTCCATAACTCTAGTTCCTGGGGATCAAACACTCTCTTCTGGCATCTGCAGGCATTGCATGACAGGGGTGCACTTACATACATGCAGGCAAAACACTCATACACATAAAAATAAAATTTTTTTAAATGGAGGGAAAGGATTAATGCACCCTATCCAGAGAGCTGTACTATCCAACGTAGTATACATGGCTGCTAAGCACTGTATTTGTAATTTTTTGGGTGGATAGGGTATAGTCCAAGTTGGCCTCAAATTCCCAATTCCCCTGCCTTAGCCTCTTAAATTCTGGGATCACAGGTATGTGCCACATTGTGTGGCTTTGCAATGTGCCTAATTTAAACTGAGATGTACTGTTACTCCATACATCCACATACAATACCAAAAAAGCATACAATACCTCAACAATTTATATTGATTACATGCTGAAGTTAGAGGCGATTGTGAGCTGCCTGACATGGGTGCTGGGAACTGAACTTGGCTCCTTTGCAAGAACAGTATGTGCTCTTAACTGTTGAGCCATTTCTCCAGTCCCTTGTATTTCTTTTGTACAATTCTGATCTAGATAATATGCCCAAAGACATGAAGGCTAGGTGGCATGCTCCTGTAGTCCAGCTACTAGGGAGCTATAATAGAAGGATTTGCTTGAGGCCTGGCAGCATAGTGAAAACCCTTGCATGCAAGAGACTCTGGGTTTAATTCTCAGTCACTGCAGCAGTTAATCTGCTCCCTAGAAAACATTTATTAATGTTTGGACACATTT